GAGAAGACGTAATTATCTACCGAATGAGCAAAAGAATGAATATTTTTATACATGTTTTCTATGAAATATAATTGGACTTTTAGGGACATCGAAAATCAATGAGAAAAATGCATGCTACATATGTAGTCGTTTTTTAGATTGTAGTTTTTGTATGCAGCCGGAAGGAAGTTCATTCGAAAGCCGGCATCCTGAGGTAACTGAATTATTGTAGAATCATACCACAGACTGATTAGTTTTACAACCATACTTAATTATTCTTTTCAAAACGAAAATGCATTTCGGAATTTCGGTTGACATTTTAGGAGTTAGCCTGCCTACTGTAGGCCTTTGAAGGTTTGACCCCGGTACGGAGCACCTGGGCTTTGCCCACCTTCAGCGTAGACTGACCACGAACTCTTACCACGCTGTTTTCAAATCTCGCACGGCTCAAGCCATCGATTGCCAGGGAGCGTGCGATGGACAGACGGCGGCATGAGTGAGCGGCCGTATCGACGACCACGGCAATAGACCACCACAAGTCTCCCCCCCCCCTCTACTACGATTGCCTGGGAGCGTGAGGTGGACAGACGGCGGCATGAGTGAGTGACCTCACCGACGACTAGGGGAACGGACCACCACAAGTCCCCCCCTCTACTACGATCCATGGTGGTGCTGACAGGCCTGGACTGCGTAGGATCAATCGGCAGAAGCTAGGAGAAATTAATATTTGCGAAAACGTGCCTTGGTTGTAAGATTCTACGAATGACAGACTTTCCCGTGTCGAGTGCAAAATCCACACTGTTAAAAGTGCGCGTATGTACCGCGTTTGTGCTACACTTCGACTGCCGTTACCCACCCTTGAACATTCAAACTCGGCCAGTGGCCATGTGAAGAAAATTATCCAGTTACCTGCGAACTCTGCTTTCTGAACGGTCAGCCACACAATTTTATGCGTTTCCAAATATGCAATTGTAGTCGGGAATAAGTAGAAGTTGGGGTTTAGTGTTTATAAGTCATCCGCAACAACTGCCCTTTCAGCTCACAGTCACGGCTTTCATCCATAGTCGTCGTTTATCTAGCTAATTCAGAGGATGGGTTGTCCTTTGGTTGTCTAGGTAATCCTGATATGCCTGCACTGTTTTGGCAAGACGCGGGACTTGGAACCTCCTCTCACTTGCTCTTATTTCCGGAAGGGATACCTCTTCCTGTCCCTTGTCTCTTTGGAAGTTAGTGCAAGGCCTCCTGTATTGCAGAGTTCCTATTTCCCTGTCTCACGCCTGTTCTGACCTATGCATTAAAAATGGATAGCAGCCCTTTCAGACGGACCAAGAGCCTCAACTGCTTCGGTGTCGTCCTTCCTCGTCGACCCATGCAACTTGGGTGTCCTTCAACGAGATGAGTAACCGATCTCATTAAATGTTGGCAAAAATTCTGAAATGCGTTTTCGATTATGAAGGATTACTTAGGTGGGGCTGTAGTACGGATGAGCTTGCGGCATAATCCTATAGTATTTCAGACTGGGTAGGATGTCAGTTGTTGAATGCATTTCTTATCACTCTCCTATAGAAACCGTACTCGGTAAAAAAATTACTACTTAAGCAGCATGCACTTTTCACACCGACTTTTGACGGCCTTATATATCCAGAAGTATTTTTATAGAAAATGTGGACAAAGATATGCTTTCGTCCACTCTTTTGATGAAGAATCGTATCAACTTCATATTTTATTCTCGAAGAAATAGTACAATTAGGTTTTGTTCACATTTTTTTTAAAGTATATTTGAATTTATAAGAGTGCCGAAAATCAGTATGAAAAATGCATGCTACTTATGTAGTCGTTTTTACTCAGGTAACTATTTGCCTTTCTTGTGACCATATTGGCACGCTGGCCTCGGGGACGCTGACGGGCAAACTGATAAGCCACCCTTTCAACTGCACGAGTTCATCGAGACACGCTGTTCTGGGCTTTTAGCTAGTGCCTGTGCTGTCCGTATCGTAAAAAAGCCAGCATTTGTGTAATTCTGTGAATATTTCATGGATATTCCGTGGTAGCCGGTGGGTTCCAGCTCAAACATCCATATTGATTTTCAGAGCAAGCTCAAAAAACTTTCTTCCAAAGTATTTTCACCTAGCTCGCCCCCCCCTCCCCCAGAAGTAAGTGAAGACGTACATGCACATTAGAGAATTTTGAAAGGGCAGTCTATCCATACCTTCAAGCTGAAGACGCTGCATGCTTGAGGAAATTGGTCTTATCTTGGTGGTTAGGGTACATGTGCGCAGTACCGGAGCTTCAGCGGCGTTGTAGAAGTTCGCTGGCCGAGTCCCCGTCTTTTTAGCCGTTGGCACGCCCGCTTCGACGTATCGCGTGATTAACTTATCGGGAAAAATATTTTCTCGCGGTGTTTCACATAGAAGCCATTTCCTTCTCCGGCGTATCCGGCGTGTATATTCCCCTGGCTCAGTTTGTTAGACAGCGGACTAAGTTTCGCTTCTGACTTAGAGGGAAAAAACTGTAGAAGTTTGTGTATTGCCGCTTCCATGTTTTCTTGCGACATACACCTCTACGAAATGTCCCATCAGACGTTCTACTAAGCTTTAAATTAGCTTAAATTACTGTACAGGTCTGAGGATGAATAGTGGAAAGCGTACGTTTACCGAACTTGACTTCTAGAATGTTTAAGTGGGTATTATCGTAGAACACCCAGTATTTGTATACTACTGACTGACTGTTAGCAGCTTGTGAATATTACACGGTAATTCCGCGATAGCTGATGGATTTCAACCTAACTACCCACGTCAACTTTCGGGCCAAGCCTAAAAAGTAAAATTTTCCTCTCTCCTGGGCGGTGGATCCGAAATGCCCCACAAGTGATGCGCATGTTCTAGCCATCGAGTCATCTGTGGCTAATGAGACAACACATTCAGTTCAGCTGCCGTTTTATCACTGTTGTCTGGGTTCCATGTCCTGCCGTTGCGCAAGCTCTGGTCGGGAATCTTGTCTTTTAGCGTTCCATACAGTATTTTTCCTTCATTTTGACTTACGAGTCTTCCCTTTTTTAATTTTCGATAATGCATACGAAACGCGCACTTAACTGCACACTTACTTCGCTGTTTCTTCAGAAAGGGAGTTGCTGGGGAAGAATATTGGATCAAGGGAGATTGGAATAGTCATTTCTTGTTTATTTCCATCATCGACCAATCATATTCTGGGGCGGTAAGACTTAACCTCTGCTCATAAAGGTCATCGTCGTGTACTGATCATAGCTCAACTGCTACTGACTCCTACCATGGATGAATGAACAGTAGGTCGCCCCGCCATGGGAACTAAGCTCTCAGCCAGACGCTGGGCAGTAATGACCCAGCGTGCGCTTGTTAACTTGAGTCTTCATTGCCCTAGACGATCGCATGCTGCTAGTTCACCCATGTGACCCGGCCTGCAAAAAAACGGCGGTCAGGTTTAGCCCAAAATGCCTTCACTGTGTCTCAAGGCCTGGCCTCCGTCTGCAGAACAGCCCTGATATTGCATTCGTGTTAGTAATTCTGTGCCATGCGCGCTGCGTGGTGGCACCGTGGAGTTTTTTTCAGGAACTTCAGATGTCCACTGCTTCTGCAAATCCAAACACTTAAACAGAGCAACAATCCAGTGCTCGCAAACGCCTCCTACCAATTAGCATCCGTTGCGAGACGAGTTGATTGGTGGGATACCCCTGATTCGCTTTATGCTCGGCCCTTCTCGTATCCTAATAAAGGCCGTTGTTTGAATCATATCACCGGATTGCCGAGGTCAATATCCCCTTCCGGGTCTTCCGCACGGCTCCACTCGTCCTAATAAAGTTGTATACAATGGTAGGGGATGCTCACCGATCGTTCTTACGGAGCTCACTCGTTTCGTTGTGCCTTACGGGCTCTCTCTCGAGCCCAACCAGCAGCCGCACAGCGGCGCATGATATAGGCAGTATTTTATTACCGACAAAGACAAGAGAGACTGGCATGGCCATTCCTGGCTTATTAGCCGTCGCCAGCCAATTATACCCAAGCTCGAAGTGTGGAACATCCGAGGCTCGAACTCGCGACCTGTTAGTTAGAAGTCCACGCCTCTAGCCACTGGACCACGAGCCCGTTGCCCTGTCGGTTTCGATCGAGAATATACAATGGTAGGGGACGCTCACCGATCGTTGTATACCTCGGGCGGGTCATACCGATTTGGTTTTCATCCTCAACAGGATAGGCGCCATCCTGTCTTCAAAAGTAGTGTTAGACGAAATCGACTACTCATTGTGGGGGGTGAAACCCTGACTCCCCAATTACTTCATCGACCATTAAATCTCCCGAGACCTTACTTCGGTGGGAATACTCAAGGTTCTGGTAGACCACACCAAGCAGCTCGGCGGCGACTTCTGTTCATTGTCAGACTTGTTTACGCCTGGGCGGTAACCCATCTCACCGTCGATGATTTTCTCATGAGTGCTCCTGATGAAACGCTCTGCGACGGTCTTTAAGTCAGGCGGATGTGACCAAAAAAGCTATCTTTCCTTCTTTTCTCTCCACTTTTCCCACGCTCAACACAGTCCTGTCCTTCACAGCACGAATGCTAGACACTTGCAGCGCACTCTTATCTATCCGTAATAACCCAGTTATCTTAATGACCACCATAGGCGACGACGCGAGTGCTGTCGGATGGACGGACGCCAGCTCTGAGCTGGAACTCTATGCCAATCATCGAGACCTACTTCGACTCACAGTCCAACTACATGGAGCACACTGGTGACCTCCCGCGACTGTTTGATGATTAAAAGTAGTTCTTGACAACTTTTTCTTTAACAAAGACAATAAATCCGCGTGTACTTTACACTTCACAAGATGTAGAACTGATCGTTAAGAGGACTTCAGGGGGGGGGGGGGTTGGGGCGCCAGCAAACAAGGTACATGAATGCAACGACGCGTGAGAAATGTACAAAATTCCGGGGATTGGGGCCCATGAGATTCCTTTTCTGTACATTAAGCCAGTTAATTCCCAAAACATCAGAGGAAGTAGTCTGGGATAGGTTTTCGGGACGGGAAGTGTTGGTTATCCTGAAAATGAGGAACAAAAGCCAGCGTTAGCGCACTTGTCGGGAGGAATGACAAGCAATCCGGGATAATCAAGGGGTCGCTTACATCGCGGCTCACCCTCTCCCCGGCGGGGGGGGGGACGTAAATGACCAATGCCTGTTTAATTCATTGAAAAGGTAGTGCTAAACTCAATAATATAATCTTGGGAAGTTTATTATGCGTTCAAGTATTTGCATGGTCATCGTAAACAAGATAGGAAGCCTAATGCGTGACGCTGGCCAAACTACGTTCTTCGGGGCTGCCGGTCACCTCACCTAGGCCGGAATACAGAGTACACGGCTGATGAAAGTAACCAGTGATGGTGGCTGTATGTGGTCGCAGCTACCATCACTCTGCCCAATAGTTTTGGAATTCATGGATGTTTTGGCAGATTTTTAATACTTCATATTGACCCAACTGGAAAAAACTTGGCGCCTCGGTGGGATTCGAACCCATCCAGTAAGGGGAAGGCTTTAGTACAGCCAACGCTCTAACCACTTGAGCTACGAGGCCCCGCCGGACGACGCGAGTTTATGGATATTATGAATTAATTAAAATCTGCCAAAGCTCTGTGAATTACGTGAGCCTAGTAGTCATCTGGTGGATTCTAGGTGAATTACTTATGAAATCCTGTTTAGGCAGTCAACTCACTGTAACAGATTTGGTAAATTCCAGACGTTGAAGTAGGTTGGGCGGGTAACTTGACCCAAATGTGACTAAACTCGCGTCGTCCGGCGGAGCCTCGTAGCTCAAGTGGTTTGAGCGTTGGCTGTACTAAAGCCTTCCCCTTACTGCGTGGGTTCGAATCCCACCGAAGCGCCGAGTTTTTCATAGTTGGGTCAATATGAGTTTTGGAATTCACACGCTGAGTAGGAATACGTAAAGCAGCGGGAGATGACAACTGACTGCTGAAAGATACATCTTCGGTGTGGGTGCCAAGTTCCGCCTACTGAGGCTTGTTTTAACAATAGATTTCTCCTGAAATACTGAGCTGCTTTTAATACAGACTCCGTGAAGCGCGGATATTTTAGACTGTTCTTTCACACCACACAATCCCGGGTCGGGAAATCGAGCTGTGATGCCCTCGGGAGCTGCCAACTGTGATAGGCATGTAGCGGCCTAGCAACTACATCCTACAGATATTGCAACACCTGGGCAATCCACTACCCTTATCTGACTCTGTCTCTGATGATGGATTCGAATGAGAATCCGAAACGTCAGGCTAGTAAAGCACTTGTTCTAACGATCGTGTCGCCTTCTCCGCAAAATTAAGATTATGGTAGGAGTATTCCCTAGCGGAAATGACTGGAACCTATTACAGAGAACGAAATACGCAGATCTCAGCCGCCGCAGGCTGTTCGCCTTGGGCATTCCAAACTCGCGTGAGCGAATAATTTGAGTCTGCGAACTGACCTGGGGAGCTGCCTCAAAAATGGCAAAATCCTGGGTTAGATTCTCATCCAATTTGAATATGGCGGCCACGTTGCCACAACGGTAGCAGTAGTTTGGCGCTGACCAGACAGTGAGGACGGTCTTGTTAAAGTGCCACCTCCGACCCTCCATGACGAGCTGGTGGGCCCGGCAGATGAGATCCAAATCGTTCACCTGCATAAACAGGGAAAGCGTTTAGCAGGTAGTCGACAATATGAATACTGAAGTCGAATCTATTTATGATCAAAAGGGGTTAATAGGAAAGGACGCGGAGTAGACTGCCTTTTGGAAGGGGCGTCTCCGGCCCCAAATGCTACAGCAGGAACACGTAGGCCCACAGATGAATATCAATTTACGCTGGGCATTTGGCTTGCAACATGGTGGCTTAAGTCATCATCGACGGCAAGCCGTGGGGAAAAATCGCGGCGGCGGCGGGATGCACACCTCTATCAGCAAAACAACACGTCAAGGCAGCCCTATTGCCAGGGTAATTTGATTTCGCCATTAAGCAGGGCCAACCTGAACGGAAAAGGCGGTGTTGGTCCGCACACAACGCAATGGGGTTTGAAGGTTGGCAATGTTTGATGGGATGCGCACACACACATTGCTAGTGAGCACGTCGTCAATGGTATGCACGCTGTTCCCCAAGTATTTGCGGTCAGATGGTCGGATGCAAACCTACACGCATCACGAATCAAAAGAGGCATGAAATGCTGGCCGAAATCCTCAAACGATGATGACGGAAGTTGCATTTAAAAGGTGTTCTGTGATGTTTTCAATGATTAATTTTGGTCCAACTATAAAAAAAGTCGGCGGTCTCGGTGGAATGCTGTGTTGATAAGTATGGGACATAAACTGGTGAATCGTTAATTTTCCATTGGGGAAGGCCGTACCTGAAGCGAATGCTACTTAAGTACTTTATATTCGGTGTTATTACAAGGTCACTAAGTCTTCCTAGAATTGGATGGCAAAACTTATTTCATCATAGTCGCTGGTTAGGGAATTTCAAAAGGGCGCAGTATTTTAGTCGAAAAAATAGACGACCAAACGCACGCTGTTTTACAAAAGCGTACTTAGTGGGCCTGCTTACGAGATATACTAATTATACTGAACTTACTGCAACATTTAATATAGAGGATGTCTCATCGTAGAAACATGGACGGAGGATTTTTCGGAGAACGCATATATCATTCAGCTTAGAAGTCCTAGATATATGCAAAGGTGTCTGATACCGTATGATACCAAACTGCTAACTCGACGATTTCATGAAATTGTGGTTGGCAAAGTTTACTGGGCTTGTTTCCAAATGAAAAGCAGTGGGTCAATGTGTGTTAGTCGGCACGTGCTGTGCTTAACCTTTCTTTAAAAAATCCACCAAATGATTATTTTTGGACTGAAGCACAGCTAGAGATTTTGGCCAACATCTCATTAATTTGAACATGTATTGTACCCACATCGTCATTGTTAATCGATGTGACAAACTTGCATCCTCATTCTAGCAACCATCTCCTCCCGTACAGCGTGAAATGACCGATAACTAACGAAGGGTAACAAGTAAGTTTCCACGGACTGTCTTCATTTTAACAGTTGACCTCTGATGGAGGTCGTGTTTGAGTCTACCGGCTCAATGCTGCTAGTTAACCGCACCGTCAATGATCGCCTTGCCTCATAGTCAGCTGATGGCACGCACACGTAGGCAAAGTCTAACCCGTCGGTGCGCCAGTCACAGAAGCCGCGAAGGGCGTGGTCAGAGGCGCGCTGGAAGGCGCCTTCCGCCGCGTACTCCCATGCGTCTAATTTATCCCTGAAACGTTGACACTAAGGTTTCTTGATATGATATTTCGATAGATCTTGCCTTTAGGTTGACATAACACGTAACCGAGTCTATCCAAGTACAGTGAGTGACCGATGTCATGAAATGTTGGTCGAAATCCTGAAATGCGTTTTCGATTAGGAGGGATTACTTTGGCGGGGTAGTAATACTGATTATCTTGCAGCATAATCCCGTAATATTTCGGACTCGGCAGGATGTCAGCTTTTGAACACACTGCTTTTCGATCTCCTGTGGAAACCGAACTCGGTAAAAAAACGGCTACTTAAGTAGCATGCGTTTTCTACATTGATTCTCGATGGTCTTATAAATTCGAATATATTTTATAGAAAACATGCACAAAAACATGCTTTTTTACTCTTTTGGTAGAGAATCATGTCAAGTTTATATTTTATACTCAAAAAAGGGGTATAATTACGATTTGAAACAGTTTTCTAATTCCCGAATAATTTGGAGCCTGATCAGCGCTCAGTGATTTCAGCCTACAAGGTGCATGTGTTCGGCGTAAATTAAATCACATATTTTCCTATGCCATTAAAAAGATACCACAGAGACTCCATAAAATCTTGTAGTGTATGCGGACTATGTTGTACATTTCATGAGGGGCGGTGGTAAACGGCAGATACGATGTTGCATGAATGGATATTGCAGTCTTAAAGTCGCATAATTTGAAACATTTTTGAACCTAATTGTACTCATTCTTCGAGTATAAAATATAAACTTGACGTGATTCTCTACCAAAAGAGTAAAAGAAAGCGTGTTTTGTGCATGTTTTCTATAAAATATATTTGAATTTATAAGACCATCGAAAATCAATATAAAGGATGCATGCTACTTTAGTCCTTTTTTACCGAGTACGGTTCCTACAAAAGATTGAAAAGACGCATTCATACTCCTTTATCGAGTATAAAATATAAAGATAGCGTGATCCTCTATCAAACGACTGAAGGAAAGCAAATTTTTATTCGTGGTTTCTATAAAATACATTTGAACTTGCAAGATCACCGAAAATCAATGGGGAAATGCATGCTACTTAAGTAGTCATTTTTACCAAGTACGGCTTCTACAGGAGATTGAAAAGCAGTGTATTCAAAGACTGACATCCTGCCGAGTCCGAAATATTGCAGGATTATGCTGCAAGATAATCAGTATTACAACCGCGCTCAAGTAATCCTTCCTAATCGAAAACGCATTTCAGGATTTAGGCCAACATTTCGTGAGACTGATCACTCACTGTATGAAGGGACAGAGGGTGACGCAATTGACCGACTTTGTCCCAACCGACTATATAGTCGTTTATCGGAGGACTAGTAGGTGAAATAGGCTCGGAAAACAGAGCACAGACACTGCTAATTACACAGTCCGGCTGTCTCACATCCGTAAGGGAAGACTGTCGTGACGACAGCCTCATGTACCAAAAATCCGGTTTTATGGCTGGTCTCATGACGAATCCGGAGGTTACGATCGATCCGGACAGGACTGCACGCAACTCGTTGATCCGACGAGTGATATTGTTGTTACCTTGTTCGTTTTGCAGAGAGTTCGACATCAGGAAGTAGTTGGCCAATAACATGGGCAAGCGGATATGTACCGACGCAACTTCATGGAATAATACGCTCCTTGAGTGGGTAGTTTCACAAGTCCGGCCACTAGCACCTGTCGGCCAGGGTCTGGTGTTATTTTCCAATGCTTGTCGATGAACACAGCTGTAATTGAACATTAGTAGAAGAGTACAGCCATTACAGACGCTGGCGGTAATGTTAAATAACCCACCATCATCCTTCATCTGGTAGACTCAGTGACACCATCAAGCGATATGTCTGACCACATAGGGTCTGGGTGGGCTATATGGATTTTATGCGTCTGCTATGCTACGATTCAGCAAGCCATGGCCATCGCAGCCTAGTGTGTGCTGGCAGTTCTCTGGCACTCAGTTTCCTGCTGGTGGGTGTGCTTGCGCTCCCGCTGGGTATACGGCCGTGGGCATAGTTGTCCAGTGACTTGTGCCATCCTCTTCTTTTTGACCCGTTTTTTGTTAGTTAAAATCCTGGTTAAGTGTTCGTTGCGGACCAGGGGGTGTGGTAGTTTGCCTAAGTGCTGGTTCGGCCGTGCAAGCCACCTGCGCCCTCTCCCGCCATCGGTCCTCTTGACTACGTCTAGACACCGGGCTCAGGCGGGGGCGGAGAGAGTGCGGCAGATGCTGGGCAAGTCTACCACTACTATAAACTAATTCACGCACAAGTCACCGTGTCTCCTCTCACCTTGCTGTGGAGCACACGGTGGACATCGTCGAATCCGACGGTCAAACCGTCTGGCCTAAATGGACAAAGTCAAATTTGGGAAAAAATGTAAGAAATATTTGAGACGGGCGGCCGACAACAGTGCTGGTAGTTGGGGGTTTAGCGGAAGGGTAGAGGGGACTGGGGACGCTGACGTAGGCACCCACGCTTCGGTCGAAACACGCCCGGCGTCTTGTTAACACAGCACGGTACAAACAAAGGCGGTTTGATGGGGAGACTGATATACTAACAGGTATCATAAGAACGCTTATACCACAGGAGTGCAACGGTAGCAATCTTAATGATAGGACTGGCTACAACATTTCAGCTTTGGCCCCGAATGACGCCGTTGTGTCGGACTTTTACGGCGGCTTTATACCACGTCCGGGGCCGCTGCGGACAAGTCCGGACCCTCGAAGCCACTAACGTCATAGCCCGTTGCAGTCCACACCCTCCTACGAGTTCATACACGAGCGTGATGGGGTGATCATGGCTACCGATTACCGCGGAGAAACACACCCGCGATACTGGTACATGGTCTGCAGACAGAAACCGCGTTAAACCGCTGTAGCTCAAAGGGGAAATCTGACTGCGCAATTTCGCATCTTTACGCCTGTTGGCCAGAAAAAAAGTCACTATCGGCATTAGGAGAACGCAAACTGCCTGTCAAGGGAATTTTAACTAAAGGTAGAAAAAAACGATAAAGCACCCCGTGGTGGGTAGCTCACTTGAGCGCGCACACTCGCTGGTTCTTGGCAGCCGCAGTAACCACCATGTCAGGTCCTCTGAAAAACTGCTTTGGAAAATAAGTGATTTAAAACCTTACGCCACAACGCACTATTCGACGTGGTATGCGTGATTCTCACGTTTTGGGCTGGAAGATTCCGGAAACTGGATTAGAGACTGCGTGCTTTAGGAACAGAGTCAATGAGCCTCGTACAACTTGGGAAAAGTCTGCCTGCCCGACAAAAAATGAACTACTCAAGGAATATTATCATTTGACATCCAACTTCTGAAATTGATTGCGAAGGTTATAGTGAGAGCAAGTAGTCCCAACTAGCTCGGTGTCTGATTACGTTTAAGACGATAGTGAGTACTAATTGTGCGCTCAATTACATTTACGACGCAGGATACACCGATAGCTTACGAACAATCAGAAACATGTTTCTTCATTCTAGAACTTGGTGTAATGCCAACAATTAGTTGTCCCTTAATTTCATATGAGATTTTAACTTAAATGAGCAGGGGTAGGCTATGCTCTCTGGTACTACAAAGCACGGCTCATAAACGTACCCGATTAAAGTTGGCGACAGTGTCCGCACCGAAGAGGAATCCAGCTCCACGGGGACTGACGCCCCAGCCGTTGTTATCCTCGGGATCTGACCAGAGGAGATCACACATTGGACCTTCGTGGGGCACTTCTTGTTTGCGGTCGATCGTGCGAATTTGGTCGAGCGTCTCAATGTGGGGGGAGAGACCACCGTGTACACAAAATATCTAAAATGCGGCAGTTACCTTTTTGAAAAGGCGGATCTGTGGGAAGAACGTAGGCGTCCTGATTAATTTGGGATAGTCAATATTAGTTTGAAATGGCTCCACTATGACGGATGTAGGTAATCGGAGTGCGAAGTGCTAACATGTTCCAGTAAAGACGTTTAAATGAAAAATAAAGGCTGTGGATCCCAACAAACTTGACTTCGGAAGTCAACTTTGGTCTGAGAAGCCTATCAGCCCGTGTAACGATCGTCAACATCATTTAGCGCCGTCCTCGAAGCGACCGTAATCCCTGCTGATCCAATAGATTTGTAATGAGAAGACTATCAGCCTGTGTAACGACCGTCGGCCACTGGCAAGGCCATTGACACTGTCGACATTAGGAAATTGAGGCCGAAATAAATGATCCCACTTGAAACGCTCGGCACATGGGAAAGCTAAGCGAATTCTCAGATGCCTCCGCCAGCGACGCATTGAATGGCCCACAGGAAGAACCGTACAGCTCCAGGTACTCTGGGAGTGACTTCCATCGCCAGCTTTACAAAATGAAGGCACACTTGGTGACAGAAACCCACGGGAATGGTTGAGTTGAAGAAACGACATTCGACAACTCCATTACGTCGGCCAATTCAGTCACAAATTTCCTGCATCAAATGACTGCCTGTTATGGGGACAGCGACCGCACAGCTCCCGCTTGTGGGCACTTCAGACTCCTTTAAAATTCCCATAGTTAATCGCTTTCAGATTACCGCTGCGTGAAAGCAGACCTTCCTCCTGCTGAACGTCGATGGTACAAAGCCAAGGCGTCCATAGGTAACACCTCAGGTGAAGTCCAGTGTCCTAACACTTGTCTTGGTCTTCACGGATAAATAATCGTGAAGAGCTTCTCCGACGGAGTGGATACGGTCATACTTGTACTTATTCCCCCGGAGAAAAACCAAATGTAGTTTCCCACTAACCATAAATATTGTAAGACTGTTTGCTGTCACCATCTCTGAGCAGTTCCCGTGTGCGCCGGACACAAGGGCGCCGGTGATGCGGACATATTTAAATTCCAACGCTCTCTTAAACTCGGCACGGTCATTTGTAGCCGGGAGATATTCCCTTGATACATATCCTGGAAGTGTTCGACTATTGTTGCGGACTATGGAGTTTAGTAACAAAAAGACGAAAATGGTTGGGTGTTCAGACGATGCTATAGCGACACCTAACCGGAGGCAAAACCAAGACGGTATGTCTGAAACCTAACTTGGTACGGTGTTGTTTGACAAGGTAGTTGTCGAAACCTCGGAGTGGCTTCACTGCAGGTGAAGGGGGCAGAACGCGTTTGGTGGATTCTAAAACGCAGCTTGTAGCATATCAAAGGTCACAGCACAGGGTGATGTTGGTGGACGATCAGTCGGGTCAAGTACAAGGCAAAATTGTCTTGCAAGAACAGGAAAAGGCATCTAAGTGTCAGGTCGGTCCAGCCGACACTGTCTAAAATGCCTTGGTGTGCAGCTTCCTAGGTGAGTTTGGTAGGTCGTGGGACGGATTTGCCAGGAAAACCCGGGAGGTTATACTTTGATTGGATTTTTGAAAACCAGTTGCCCTACGACGAATGGTGGACTACTATGTTCTTTGGATTCCGACTGAAGTGCTCTTTGCAGTCAGTGCGACTGGTGGGATGGCCGTGGACTGGTTCAATTACGGAGTGGAAGATCGCCTGTCTACGTAAAAGAAAGATGTTGGGCTGAAGGGAGGAGTACTGCGCTATCAAGGCTGGTGTCCGACAAGAAGTTTCCTTAACCCCTTCTTGACTGTGCGATAGATGTGATGCTAATCACAAAGTCGATGGGGTGAGTAGTTTGTTTCCTCGCATCCCTGCCACTCTGAGAGCCTTTTCCCGCTTGAATGCTTCAAATGGAAGCGAGATTTGCCCTTACTGAAGAATCGCGGACACTTGGGCTTGGTTTGAAACCGAAACTGGCGAAACTTAACTCACCGGATGTGTGCTCATTGTCCTAGCTGCAATGAGTCTTTATATGACCAGCTGGTTTATCTGAATTCGTTTTTCGAAGTCGCGCTGTAAACTGGTCTGCTTCAAGGTTGCTAATCATGGTTCCTGTGCGCCCATGAGCCGAAACGATCCGAGGTTTCTGATAACTGAAGCTCTCGAAAATAATGTTATGGTTTCAAATGGTCATATTCCGGACGCGGATGTGTACCAATGACCACAAATGTCTATTGCTAGGGGCACGAGAAACTTATGCTCAAAGTGCTTGATCATGCACTTCGGCAGCACAAGCGCAAACCTTATCAAGTAGTCGCTTGAACCCCCCGTCATAACTAGCGCTGTTGAGGTGATGGACAACTGGCGTGGGATTAGCACGCTGAAATCAAAGTTGGGCATGGCAGTCACTGGTTTCTGAGAATTGACTATATGCGAACGGCGGACGAGAAAGTAATGGTCAGTTGCCGATCATATGGAACTGTGCTGTCGGCAACAGAACAGTCAAAACTTGGTCTCCGTGGTTGGTTAAAGTACACATGGGTGGGCTAAGCCCTAGTAAAACGGCGCTTATGAATGCTCGGACCATGGCTACCCGCCTATAGACCTTTGTTTGTTTGGTGGCGCTAGATCACCAATATCCATTAGAGTAAACTTCTAGGCACAGATGGAGGACAGTTATCAACAACAACCGAGTGTTGGCAGCAACTTGACCAATTTCATAGTCGACGTCAAAATTATCTGTTTGGTGGTATAACAACCATGGAAGGAAATAGAAGGTAATAGTTAGCAGCATTATTGCTGTGAACAACTAGGAGAGGACAGGCAGAGCGGTTATATTTGTGGAAAATCTGGCTGTCGCAGTCCTAGACAACAAGGCCACCCGTGGGACAGAAAGACTACGATCAGTGAAAAGTGCGAATATACACATCAAGCGGAGACGGGGCAACAAAATACAGATTACAACTGGAAGACCATCAGTCCTAGAAACTCAAGTGTTTAAATTTGCCTGGAATAAATGTCGAGTGGAATTGGAAAAAAGACAGAACTTAGAGTAGAGGGCAGTCTATCAGTTAGAAATGGGGTATAACTTGAGTAACAAGAAGACAGAAGTGTAAGTGAACGGGTAACAGCTTCCCCAGTAAATGTAACCTAAAGTGCCGGCTGCTGTGAGGCCCATATGGCAAACTGACGTACTTGGGACTGCGGCGTTATCAATACTTACAATGCGGCGCGATCAGAACAGCTTTCGTCGAACACACCGGGGAAGAAACCCATTCAGCGCCCCTTCGTAATTTATGGCATCGGTTGGGCCTTGTGTTTGTCGTGCGCTGCCTGGGATAACAAGCTCACAAATTCGTCTACCGGGCTTACAAATTGGACAATACATCCAAGACACAGAGTGCAAACGCGCCATTTTGTAAAATATGCCGATTTTTACAAACACAAGTTTGGTTCTATGAAGTGGACCCGGCATTCCACCGACGGTCTGTTTCAGCACACTGCTCATCCATTTGTGGGCAAATGATATTGGTTCAATTCGTTTTAGATTTCAGATGAAGTAGGACAAGCAAATTTTCTGCCGAGAACAGTTAACGCACTTCCGCAAATAAAGATATAAGGCACAACATACCTTATCCTCAATTATTGCAGAAAGACAAAGGTAATCAAAGATTTCTGTGCACTGACGCCAGACCAACGGTGATCCATATTTCCGAAGGCACTCGTCGTAAAATCCGTAAACCGTTGTAATCTGCCGACTTTCATGGTTTCCTCTTATAAGCGTAATTCTGTCCGGGTACCTGACCTTATTTTAAGTAGACGAAATCTCCCCGCTTACCTTGAGGGCCAGGAGAAGGAGAAAAGTTTCAATACTGTAGTAGCCACGGTCAACAAAATCCCCCAAGAATAAGTAGTTGGTATCGGGCACATCGCCACCAACTTCAAAAAGTTTAAGCAAGTCGAAAAATTGTCCGTGGATATCGCCACAAACCTACTAAATTAATTCAAAGAATCTGAAAATTACGGTGACTGGTGAATCCACGCATTGGACGTTGCTTTCTTCAATAAGGATTTCTCTCGCCTTTGCGCACAGAGCCTTAACCTCGTTCTCAGTGATTAGTTTACATTCCCTCAACTGTTGGATCTGCCTATCAAGGTCACTCGTAGAGGCCATCACCCCGCTTACAAAATTGAATTGCAAGTGAGTGTTGTTTGTAGCCTTTTCCACGAAAGGTGATTTAAAACAAGTTGAGGATGTCGCTTTTTAATTTCCTAAGAAATGAACTACGAACTTGAAGTAGATCAGTCTGTTCAATGTCTATAGGCTCCAAACGAAATTTTAATGCACGAGGTTTTTGTTCACGCTTTTCAGTTTGGCCCGATGGGCATTGGTGTCTGGCAGTTGCACATTGCATGGGAGTTCAACAGCGCCCGGTTTTAGCTTCTCTCCGAGCAGACCTCTAGTGACCGTCACGAGCTTGAGCCATGGTTTGTCCTTTTATCCGTCTTGTCCTTCCGAATACGTGGGGGTTTATAAGTCGGAATGGATTTTGGGCCTTTAGACTACTTTCAGGCGCACAGTAGCCAATTCCACGAAATATTCCATCATCCTAAACTCGAATTTGGTATTAGGTATGACTATTGTAAAGAAAAATATGGATAAGGAAATCTGAAGAACCATGAATGTGTATTTATACTAAAGCCAAACCGAGTTTTTAATTCGCAGCAGAAATGCTGACTACGTTTTTTAGGGCGATGGTGGACGGTCGGCCGCAGAAAAGACAAATCAATAATCCTGACCACTTAGACGATACCGGATGATTGTAAATCCAGCAAATGATTCTACATCATTGTCCCCTTAAAAGGCACCGAATGTAATCAGTTTAGCACTGTTTGGAAATAAGATCATTCATTCAACACAACGTTGCATGCAAGGAGGACATTGGCATCCTTGTAGTGAGATGCCAAGACAATTAAACTACCGGCCGATTGCCTCAGACGCATTAAGTTCCACGATCTTATGACAGGCGAATAAACCTAGTTCAATAAGCTTTTCATTTAGCTGTCGAATTCTTACTTCAACCTTCCGAGTGTTTCCCCTACCTTCCTGCAAACTTCACCACCAACTATACGGGTTATCAGTTCCATCAAACACTTGTAGATTGGGACCCGGAAAATGGACTGGGTAGGTCATACAAATATTAAGCCATACTTGTCAGGCGCGAAAACCCGCAATCAATTTTCTGAGGGTTTATTCAACAAAATGATGAAATCAAACCAACTCTGGCTCATTTTCAACCTTTATTTTGAACTTTAACTAAATCACGGTTTCAATAAGCAGAAAGCGGAGGCAGAACTCTCATTGGACGGACTTTATTTTATCCACATGGATTAAAATGGAAGTTAGTTTGGAGATTCCGTGGTGTTCTTATGAGTTGGCCTTAACTACGTCACGGATAGGCCCTCAACAAATATTAACACCGGTTGCAAAATCCTTTGCTACAAATTGAAAGTGCCAAATCACCCGAACCTCCATATTGCCCTCGTATTCAAACCCCAGGACAATGTAAGGACAGGGATGATACACCCACCACTGAATTAAAGCCAACCTGTCGCAGCAAACGCGCAGTGCTATTTGCAGATATCAATTTCCCAGACGTCGAGTGGGAATCGATGCACTGCACGCGATCGTAAAACTCTTTCGAACAGAAATCAACTCAAATGGTTACTGACGAATTCATTACTCAACACGTTACAATGGACACACGATTCCTAAATAGGCAGCAGCGTAGCTGTGAGTGAGTGAAATTGACCGGAAACCGGCACGTGTACCTGGCGCAAACGCAGCATAGCTTCTCTTTAAGCGTGTGAGTGGACACCTGATGGAGAGATGTAACCCTCATAAAGGGAGATCGTACGTCTCGTGACCTGAGTGAGTCACTGGAAGTAATAATGCAATCTCAAAAATAAACGGGGACTGTGGATGAGATAGGTTAGATGTCAAATGTTCTAACATTTATCTGAATTCAAGAAACTGTGAAATAGGCGTCCGGATATCCTGAGGAGAGAGTAAACGACTGTGAACTCGGAAATAGTTAGAGGAATGTCAAGAAATATGAAAAATTTCTTCGAATACTTGAAAAAGGCAAAGCGCAATTGGAACCCCGTCTGTTGTCTAAAGGATTGTCAGGGAAATAAGTTAACTGATAGTTCGGATAATACGAATCTCTTATCAAACTTGTTAATGTTCCTGCATACCGGGGAGGCACCTTTTGATGAGGAGGTACATCAGAAAATTGCCATATCTAGGGGTGCAATTAGCCAGATGACGTTCAAAGCAGGCACTGTAAGGGAAACTCTGTGACAGCTATGTACGTAAATAGGGCTGTAAAAGTCTCTGCCTATATATGTTGAAGTAAATGATGTAAATGAAGGCAATAAGTACTTTACACTAGATCAGACCTGTATGTGAAATGTTTCCTGTTGAACATTTTGGATGAATTTTCGATATTTATTGGGACCCCATCGAGATTATGGAATGCCAGTGGTTACACCATGGATGAGTAAGTATATTGGCCTCTTAGATCAAGCGCAACGCAGAGAAACGAAGCTGGTCGATGGTGGTAGGTATCTGTCGTATCAGGATAGGTTGAATGAGCTTGAATTATTCCTTCTATCTTATAGGCCACTAAGCTGCAGCCTGCCCTGGTCATCCCGGACCATACATGGCTATGACTGCTTGCTGAAACCGGGGGATTTCTTTCAATTTGACTGTACAAATGAAATGCGCGGACATCCCTGAAAAGTAAAAAGCGAACGTGCCCGACTAGGTCGCAGAAAGTTATCCTTAGGCCAACGGCTAGTTCGACCATGGACCTCGCTACCAATTGAGATGGTGAAAACTGAAACAATTCGCACGTTCAAAAGAGAACTTGATCGCACAATTTTTATAAAGATCGTCTTTTGCAACATCATTTCTCACAGCTGGCTTTGTAAAACTCCTTGTCATCCACAATCTTTTCGTAGTGGGTCACAATTTCACGGTCTACTAAACCAGTTACTCCAGGCAGACATGGAAATAAAGGTTCCGAAGGCATTACGGATAGGAAAAAGGAGTGAAGACATGACAGCAGCACTACCACCTCGCCCTCTCAGAATTATGCTGGAGAACAAAGAGCAAATCAAGTTGATCCTCTCTAAAAAAAAACCGACCTCAGAAACACACACGTACAGGTTTTTTTCTACCGGACTATTCACCAGCGGAACGGCTGAAACGCCGGAAACACGTCTTGGAGTTAAAACCGAGACTGAGGGGGGGGGGGCAAACACAATCTGGCTATCTTCAAGGGGAAGGTAGTTCGGAAATATATGCCATTTCAGTGGAACCAGCCTGTAATATTATGAACGACGGCAGCTACTCAGCTAACACAGGCACCGTCGTGGAACCACCTGCTCAAGGCGACAACACAAGTAGGCACTTAACGTCCAGTGTTCTGACTAAAGCAACGGACATTAATGGAACCCATCAGGTAACGGAAGTGCCCAGAGAAAATTGCGTCCGAGAAAACGGAGAAATGCTCAAAACAGTGACAAATGCAAACGGAAATTCGGCTGGTGCAAAACTGAGGTGCTTGTACACGAATGCCCAAAGCCTCATATCGAAAATAGACGAGCTAAAACTTTGCCTTGCAGAGCTGTCTCCAGATGTTTTAGCAGTAACCGATACCTGACTGTCCGGGAATATTAACGATAGCGAAATAGCCTTGCCAATAGAAGCGAAGAGACGAGTCCCAGGAAATAGTCTTGAAGAAGAAGACACGATCATGATGATGGATTCGAGTAGGAATCCGAAACTTCAGGCTAATAAAGCGCTTGTCCCGGCGATCGTGTCTCCTTCAAAATAGCCTTGCCTTGATACCAAATGTATCGGATGGACAGGGAACATCGTCAGGGTGATGGCATAGTTGTGTATGTGACTGAGGGCCTGACAGTGTCGGAAAACACCACCAAGTTTGCGTGCGGCACGGAAGGCTACCGGTTCCCCGTGTCTTGATGTCCTCACTGTCTACCGACCACCTAGGACAGACCAAATCGCCGACACTCAACTATTGGAGCAGTTGGAGAGATTTTCCAGTCGACCTCACATCATGATCATGGGCGACTTCAACGCACCAGGAACAAACTGGAACACCCTCCAAGCGTCAGGTCCAAAATCGGCATTCGATTACCGTCTGCTGAACAAAACATTAAAGGCGTCCCTCACACAACATGTAATGTTCCCAACGAGAACGCGTGAAGAACAAAGAGCAAACTGCCTGTATCCGATTTTTACGAAAACACCGGACAGCATAGACGAGATCATCTCTATGCCACCCCTTGGTCGAAGTGATCACGTAGTGCTTATGTGGGATTATTCGTTATTCTCCATTTCACATGCTCCAGACCAAAAAAGACGGAATGTTTGGCGGAAATGCCAACGATGACTGGTAGATGTTCAAGAATGTCCTTCTGCAGATAATCAACAACCACTGCCCACTGACTAGTGAAAGACTGAACAAACGCCCTGGCTGGCTAAACAGCAACCTTAAGAAAGAAATCAACAGAAAGCACAAATTTTGGAAAAAATACGGCGTCACTGGGCAAGTTCAATATTTCAACACCTACAAGACACAGTGGAACAAACTGAGGAACCTGATCATGAAGACACGACGGGAATTCGAGAAGAACTTGCTACAAAAAAACAAAGCAGAACCCAAAATGACTCTACAGTTACCTCCGACGAAGTTCGAGGAACAAGCATCAAATTCCCTTAATAAGGACTACTCATGGCGTTGAGATTGCAGATAGAGGGGATAAAACTGCGTATTTTTCACAATTCCAGTCAGTCTAAACAAACGAAACAAGGTTCCTTCCTCCTTCCACAGAAGAACTGCCGACCCCAAGCATCAGTGATACACTCTTCCCAGAAGGCATTGTCCGAAGGGAATTAGAGGCATTGAACGAATCGAAGTCACCAAGACCAGCCGAGCTTCCACCCAAGTTTCTCAAGGCCATAAGCTTGACATACATTCTCTGCAAAGTTATGGAAAGGATCATAAAGAGTGAACTGATGCAATTTCTGGAATTTCACGGCCTGCTATCGAAATACTAACATGGGTTCCGGAAAGGAGGATT